CCCCCATTCCCCGACCCCCTGCGCTGCCCAGGGAGCGAGGAGGTAGAAAATTGGGGGTGAAGTTGAGCCCAGGAAGAAGGGAGGGCTGGAGGGAAGGTGTTTTAAGATTTGGGTTTAGTTCTCATTATCTCTACTCTGATTTGATGGGCAATAAATTAAATTAATTTCCCCAGGTCGAGTCTGTTTTGGCTGTGATGGTAACTGCTGACTGATCTGTCCCTGTCCTTATCTCGACCCATAAGCTTCTCATTGTACTTTCTCTCCCTTGTCCCATTGAGGAGTGGAGTGATTAGAGTGGCTTTGGTGGGCACCTGGCATCTAGCCAAGGTTAACCCACCCCAATAGTGTAGGACAGGGATGAAGGTGAGAAGGAACCAGGTAGGGCAAATGTATGCACTGGATGCAGAACAGTACATGCCTGGTTCATCTCCACTCACATTCCCATTTTACCTGGAGGTTCTGAGTGAGGAGTAGATCTGAGCCAGCAATGTGGATCACACCTGGGCTGACTGGCTTCGCCTCCCCCTTCCCTCTCCTGCCTTATTCTCTGTGTCCCCGCCAGTCCACCTCCCCTGCCCGACTGCCAGTCATCCCTGCCTCTACTTCTGCATGTCCACTTCATCCTTCACCTTTTATGGGTTTCCTTCTGCAGGTTTCATATACATTGTTCCCTGCTGAGTGCTTCTCCCACCTGTGCCCATAGATGGCTCAAAGTACATTCTCCCTATCTTTTATCTAGTCAATATATCAGATAATATGAGATATAAGATAAAGTCACCATTTTTTAAGGCAGTTGTTAATAGGAAATGTGCAAGGGGAATTTGCCCGTTGAAACTTTTCACAGTAAATTGAAGCAAAAACATTTTCTTCTGTTTGCTAAGCACAGGTACGTGATCAGGTTGCAGTGTTACATTACAGTTCAGTCAATCTGCTATCTAAGGAACTAACGGGAGCAGTACTGTTTCCACTCCCTTGTAGCTGGGTGCTTCCCTTCTGCTGGCTCACATATGCCTGACTTTGTAGTTCAGGGAGTGAAATCAGCAGTAAACTAACCCTACAAAAGCAGTCATCATTTCTCTTCCCATTTATTTCTCTGAAGTAGTTTATCAGAAGCCCAGAAAAGAGATGGGTCGGGAACATAGCCTGCAGGGCACTGGACTAGATCTGCTGTGGCTGTTACTATGGCTTAGTGAATACACAGCTGCTCATTAGGATGTGGCAATTCAACCATGCCACTCACATATGACTTAAATGTATCCACTACTGCAAAAGAAGACATCCAATATGCTGCAGCAGCATCAGTCTGGTTTCCCACACCAGACCCAATATTGGTGTAGCAAGTGAAAATAAGCCCTAAATAAGTAGAGGAAAACTGGTTTAATTTATGTGGTAATTTTAAATATTAGTTTCAGGTTTGTGCAATGCATTAGATACAACTACAAGTCTTTTGAAGAGGTTACTACAAAGCATCTATCAGCGCTTTTGCTATACCTCAATGATATTCTGATATATGCTAGTATCTCAGAAGAACTGGGACATAGGTGCTCTGTGATAATAGTAAGAATGTACATGTGAAATGAAAACCAACAACTGTGGATTGTCTCAAAATAGGGTGATTGGACTGGGCCCACAATAAGCAAGAAGGGAATTTCCTTCAACAAAAGAATGGAGGCTCTACAGAATTAGCCAAGTCTATAGGCAATTAATTATATAGGGGATTTTTGCATTTGACTGTTATTACAGCATGTTTGCTTGTGTGTTGGTCAATATTGGAAAACTATTGCATATTTTGGGTGAGAAAAAGAAAACATTTCAGTGGTCAGCAGAGTGAAATTAATACTTTTATAGTTGGGAAAGATTCTCCATCTTTCAGCATTGACGTACCAATGTTTAAAATGCCTTGTGAAAAAGAAAAAAAAAAAAGCTTTATTTTTGCAGCTGTAATGTCACAAGGACAGTAGAGTCTTGTAGCTTAGTAGTGCAGAACTCTAACTTTAGAAAAGGCACCACCTGAGTGGAACTCCCTCCAGTGCATTATATGTGTAGGGTGGTCCAATCACTATTTGAGAGAGCAGGAAGAGCTGGTCTCAGGTGGAACAGGAATTTTGTAATCAGAAGAGAAAATGTTTACCTGAAGAAACAGGACTCTTGGTCCTCCAGAGGCTCAAGGTCAGCTACCAACAATTTTCTCACTACACAAATGCAAACAGGCAGACCTAAGCCAAAGTATGGAAATACTATTAGGGGTTTAGTTGCAAACATTGCCATAAACAGGAATGTCTTAATGGTAAGCATTTAGGCTAAGTTGTCTAGGCTCCCTCTAAAACAAGCATCCAAGTAGAATGAAATATGCTTGGGAAGTACCTGTCTCTCTGCAACGGCCATCATGGCAGCCTAGACTACTACCTTTGAATGAACACTTTACTTTCAGACAGTTAATTTCAGTGACTTGTCTGCTATGTTCACCATTTAAGATTTCCTCTAAAACAGCACCAAAGTGTTCAGCACCATGGCTGCTCACATTCTATTTGGTATTTTCATTGCTGCAGCCAACAAGAGAAGAAATACTGCAAAAGATTTAGTATCTGTGCAGCTGAAACGGGATCTTACCATTGAAAGCATCCATCTTCAGTACAGCTGGTTTTGCTTCAAGACCTTGTATGAGCTTGTCACTGGAGGTGGTGTTTTGTCTGAGCCACACTTCGGTTTCCAGATCCTGCCACGCCTGTATAATTTTCATTCATTTTCAGTCAGAGCACATATGCAAAAGGTTGATCTTAAGATTTTGCTGCAGTAAAAAGTACAGTGTACAAATCAACCTTTCCTACAGAAAGGACTTTTCCACTGGAGGGAAGTGAAGAGAGTAATGATGCTCTCTCAGCTGAATGGCTGAATGTCTTGTTTCTGGATGCAGTCTGGAGGGTGTTCGAGGAAAAGCAGATGTCTGAGTAGATCAGTGCTTCTATTTCACAGCCAAAGCAAGTAACTAAATGCTTTAGGAAAGCTGCCTTGACGCCTCTGCAGACTTTTGGAGCTGTAGCACCGCTTGGAATAAGAATGTATGTAATAGATGTGCAACATACACAATGAAGCACTGATATCAAAGGAGCCAAGCAGGATTTGTCCTCTTCAGGGCACCTCAGAAACCTTGTGTTTCAACACAGCGGATCTCTTACACCATATTTGTCTCCTGTAAATTGCACTTTGAAAGTCTTGAAACAAAAAAACACATTCAGATGGAAAATATTTTTTTATTGATCAACTTCTTGTTCCAGACCCTCACTCCCCACCCATATTCCTCATCCCACATGAGCAATTCCACATGGTTTCAGGATTTGCTATTAATCATCTTTTAGTTGACTTTATTTCCTTGTTACACAACAGCAAGTAAGGATGTTTGACAGGAGTATTCAGTGAAATAAAGGCCAACGATTTGATAATCAGTACAGTGTGTAATATTATTCTCAACAATTGAGTATAAATATAATGGAAAAAAAAAATACTTCAATTCTTTCCACTAAACTGTTTCCTTCTAGATTGGATTTCCACATGACAGTTTTAAATAGCTATTAAACCAAAGACATGTACCTCCTCAGGCAAATGGGAAAGTTATCTCCAAGTCAAATACAAATGCAGACACAGAAAGCAGTTGTTAGATATTTTTTAAGGAATACGGTCTGTCATCGTGAGATCATCAGAATGGCATCAGAAAAAAAAAAAAAGGAAATTACAAAGAAGGATAATGTAACTAAGCTGAGAAAACTTTCTCCATTCTTCATTTCTCAAAAACTTTTGCTTATGGTTTAAACACAAAGGTTACAAATAAGAAAATCTGAAATACTTGTTCTACAGGTACACAAGGTACTATGAAAGTACTCATTTATAACATATTATATATAAAATATTAATTTAGAAGGAAAATGTGAACATAATTCTCTAAGTGATGTAAGACTTTTTTTTGTTTTGAAATACTGGGAAATGAGGAATAATAATCCAGCTTCTTCTGGACATGTTAGAATAGGCTTAACTTGCTAAATGCTTCACTCATGAGAATAATCTCACAGTAATTAGCAGAAACGACTTACATGAGAGATGACCAGTTAGACAAGATTTGCAAGTTACACCAAAATACAACTTGATGTTGAGAAGGTACTAAGGACCTTGAAAATGTGTTTTTAAATTCAGTACAAGGAATGCACACTCTTCATTCTAGGGGAAAAACAGAAGAGGAAAGAAGATTTTTTTTCTTCTCTTAAGTGTGAGAGAGTTCATATATAGTTGGACTTAAGTGACAAATCTAACCATTTGTCTACAGCTTGTGGACTTGACTGTCACAGTCCAAACAGCACTCATATCAACAAATGAACACAACCAAGATACTTTATCCTGAATGGTAACTTCTGACAAAGGAAAAGCCAAAGACGGCCTCAAGGCAAAGATGGTAGCCCCTTCTCTACCACATGACTTGCATAACTTCCGCAAGGCTGCATCTTTTTCCCATCTTTGAACAAGGACTTTTCAGAGCATCTCTGCTCTATCTCAGGAGTTCTAGGTTGATCCCACTATTCTAGGTTGCCTCTGAATGGGTATCCTTAAAGCAAAAGCATTTTTAAGAGCTCAGGGTCTACCAAATCATACATCTGTGGGCTGCACTACTTACTCAATTTCTTTACAACCTATGAATAGGTGTTTTGCAAATGGCTGTGGGAATGAAAGGAAGCACTGGAACAGCTGAGCAGACACATCCAATGCATGAGAGCACAGAGGGGACTGATCTGCCTGCAAATGTCAGGGAGAAAGCAAGGGGCAGGTGCTAACAATGTGACTGTCATGCTCAGAAAATCTGAGATTGTTCCAGGGCTCTTGAAGGCTGTCTTCTTACATTACAAACTTCTCCCTTCCGCTGGTTATTTGTCTCCCTTTGTGCTCTCTCTCTGGCAGCAAGGCGGCTACCTCTGACGCCAGACTGCACTGTGGCGCAACAGAGAGCGAGCAAGAGGAGAGAGCACAGGAGCAAGAGATGTCTTCAGTGGGGGCAAGACAAGGGGAGAGATAGAGACCTGGTATTCCT